AAAGTTTTTCTTCATTACCCATTCAAGCCATCTCCAGCCATTATAACATTAGTCTGTTATTTTCAACTTAGCCAAAATATCTGAGTTTTTGAAAGCAAAATTTTATCCTAAACTGAACTAAAGGTTTAAAAATAAAAAAGTGCCTATGAGGGGGAATATTAGCAAGTTTTTTGTTCTTCCTTCTATTATTTGTCACAGTTTATTGTGTTTTTAGAATTTTAGTATTTAAGTACACCACTGAAACTTTAAAGAGATATAACTTAGTAGTTACACAGATCAATATGTTCAGTTTTTACATAAACATAATTCGTTTCAAAGTTTTAATATTTAATTTTTTTCTTTCTATGTTTCCAGTTACACAGCTAATCCAGTACCATTGCCAGGTCAGTATCTAAACTTTGGTATAAAAAGAGTTTTTATCACAGGACTGGGCATCCAAGGTTCGAGCCATGATGCAGCTAAAAATACTCAACATTTTTAGCTGTTAGTGAATTATAAAAGGGACAGTCAAAATTACTATTAGGTTTAAAGAACATAACAAAATCAGTGTAGAAGCAGGTGCTACTGGCTGGTTGTTTTCATTCCTTCTGGTCAGTAGCTCAAAATTATTATCTCTGACCTGACCCTAAGCCTACTGGAGCATAAGGTGCTACTTAGATTGAAAATTCTAATATTTTTCTTTTTTGTCATACGAATGAACTTAAAGTAGTCTACACTGCATGTAATGATATGACAAAAACTTTTACAATGTTATCTTACAGTTAACCAAACACTAAATTGATCCAACAAATGGTTTTAATTCATTGCAATGCAACTAATATGAGACTTACTTATCTCACATATATCATGTTCAATAACTTCTTAATGAGCTGAGGACTGCAATTTCTTGCTATTTCAGCAAAATCAATTGTGGAGGTTATCTGTCAAAGCTCTATTGTTATACTAAATTTATAATAATTCTAGCAGTGATGCTAGATAATTTTATACCTTCTCTCATTATGAGAGTGACAGCTGTGTGTGTGGATAAAAAATATCCATATCAATATTCCTAAACCCAGTAGGCATGTAAAATTCTGTTGGATAGTATTTTCCATCAATTTAATGGTTGGGCTGATGAGAGCTGAAGTAGATTGAAGTTGCAGTCCTCAGCTGTTGAAGAAACCATCCAACATGACATTTGTGAAACATGGTGGTGAATCAAACCAATCATTTAAGAAGTTAACATGAAAATAACAAACACTGTTTGTAAATGTAAGTTTTATTATTGGATATTGAAATTAAAAAATTATCAAAGTCAAAGTATTTTCTGATAGAAACAGTTAAACAATATTTTCAAGAAGAACATGTTTAATGTTGGTGACTTTATTTGTTTTAAAGAAAAGATTAATGTGATTCCCAGTTTTCGTAACTTAAGTTATTTTCTTCTTTGTCTTAGACCAGCAACATTTTGACAACCCTGTTTATGCTTGTAATGCAACTATAGGAACTATGAACAACCAAGTTGTTAAACATATCAAAAATGACTTAACCACCAAAAGCAACATTGAAAAAGCGAAGCTTGGATATGATGATGATGATGCAGAGTCGAATATATCCGAGAAAGGTTGTAAAAACATGTTGATCTTATTCACTTCTTCTGACAAAAGTTTTTATTTAAATACTTTTAGAAGCAAAATATTGAGGAGAATATTTCCTTATTGCAGGATTTTAATAATTACAAATGATTTGTTAAAAATATTTATTTCAATTAATTAAAGGTTCAACAGTATGATTCAAAATCATTATTACATGTTCTCATCCATATCAGTAAAAAATGTTTCTATATTGCCCAAAAAAGACCTGGATCTGTTAAGAAAAAGACTCAGATTTTTAAACATATTGGCACCTTTTTTTTTACCCATCTGTATATCATTAGGTGCTTGTGGTACATCTATATATGATGAGCCTAACAGGAGAAAGCTGAATGAAGTAGACTATAATCCTAATATCTACCACAGTATAGATGATTTTAAACCCCAAGTGGCTAAGAATTCTTCTTTCTACGAAGAACTGAAGACAGAAGAAACTCGTAAGTTGAGCTAATGAATATTTTGATACAAGTATAATAAGGTTTTGTTCACCCTGGAAAGAAATACTGACAAATTATATAGACATATGTCCTTTTAAAAGTGCTAAGGAAGGAAATTGAAGAACATCTAAATGTTATGAATCATTGCTTTATGATGGGGTATCTAGTGGTGATAAACCAGTGAATATTGATTATGACCTTTGTTTCATGTGTTTAGTGTTGAAAGGTATCTAATTTCAGTATTTTAAGTTTTGATGCGAAGTGCAATAATAAAAATATTTTCAAATTGTTAAAAAATGTTGTAATAAATACTATCATCAATGTAATTTTAAAGATTTATCAGATATTGGGAGTTATGTGTAACTGATGTTGAACAAGAACATTTTTCATGAGAAGCCAAAAAATAATTTTATAATGTTCAGAAATCATTGATGAAACTGTGGATTATAAGAAGTTTACCCGAATGGTTATAGTTATTGTAGAATAGGTGTTTATTTTTTGAAATTCTTAACAGTTAATTCATTATTGCAGCCTTCTATAACATAGGTTTAATGTCTAATACTAGTCTTAAGTGTTACCTTCATGTTCACATGTTTTAACATTTCCAACTGAATCTTTTTATTCACTTCAATTTTCAGAGTTTACTATTTTTTAATTAATCAGTGACTTGTTAAATAATTTTAACATAATGTACTTACATTTTATTTTTACAGTATTACATTTATTTTTCAGTTAAAAGTATTTAACTTAACTGCTCAAAATAACCTTCTTTTTTTTATTACCAGATAGTGATTCTGAATATGACCATCTCCAATATGATCGACCAAGATCTCAAAAAAAATCTCATTATCAGTCAGTCGGTAGTAAGTCATCTAGATTCAAAGAATGAATAAAACCATAATTCGGTGTATGGAATTTTAGTCAGTACATAGTTATTATCTAAAAAAGTAGGTAAAAATGCCAATGACTTTTTTTTTAGAAAGATTTTTAAAAATGTTAAGAAAATGAATATATTTTATGAGGGTAACTATAACTTGACTCCTCAGTGATGAGCAAAATACAATCCAAGTAGAGTTAACGTTGGGACCAATTGTCTTCAGTTTGTAGTACTATGTAATTACTTTTTGCTGAAAATGTACTTTAGTGTCAATGCAAATTTCAATAACAAATTTTTTTTTTGGAATTTCTGTTTTTCACTTAAATGTGAAAAATCATTTGTTGAACAATAATCAGTATTCTACTTCATTTTTTGATACATAGAGGTGTTTATGAATGAGATCTGGTTCAAAAAACAATATTTTTTGTGTTCTAAATAACTTTTTTTTATAAGCAGAACAAATACTGTAGTATATGTAATAATTACCTAACAGTAACTACCATTTTTAACTGAATATTATCCTTGAAATAGTACTTTGTTTCACAATTTATGTTAATGTTATTAATAGTTGAAAAGTATGGTTTTATGTATTCACTAATTCAAGACAGCAGAATTAGACTTGAACTCATGCATGAAGTACATAGGTAATTAGTTAGTCACATTACATAATTTTGTTTTTAAAGTGAATAGTCATATTTTATCACAGGAACAAAAGTAAGTATTGATCTCTCAAAGATTATGGTAACAAATTTTGAAGATTCTTAATCGCATGATTGGTGATTTTAAATTTTGACTTGCATTAAAACACCCTTTCATGCACATTTCAAAAAATACTTTTCTCATTAACATTACCTAGGCTTAACCCTTGTATTTAACTCAAATTTTGTTCATCATCCTATTTAATGTTTTTCTACAAGATCGATGCTCCTGACAGAGGTATCAGAACTGGGGGTGCTAAAGCACTCCCACTTTACATATTTGACTTGTATAGCAACTGTAAATTATATTAATTTTCTGGGAAGAGGCAAGCCCCAGACCTTACTAGATTGAACTGCCCTTGTCAGTACGGGAGCTTCTTTTAGCAGCTCCTTATACCTTCAATCTCTCTCACTAAAATCTGCATGTCTAACCAATCACCCCCACCCCACAACTCCTCCTATACCACTGCCTGATGCTTTCCAAAAAATTAATTTATATTTTTCATCAAATCTCTCAAGGGTTAATAAATCGTGATTATTGCAATTAAATATTCAGATATTTTGCCCACACGCAAAACTCCCTATATGCCAATATATTGTAAGTTAAGTATCTATACTATACAGTTACCAATTGATTTGTAGAGTAATGCAAAGCTTTATAGTCTTCATACATGCTGAATTTTAAGCAAAGCTATTTATAGTGTGCTTCACAGCATTTGTGAGAATGTTATTAAAATATGTTTGTTCATTGTACAGCTTGCATATTGCATTTCCTTAACCTCTAAAGCCTCTGAAATGCATATGTGTTTTTTTTTGGTATTTTTGTATATTTTATTGGGTATTTACTCTCCTCTACTATGAACTATCCCTGAATTAGCAGTCAAGTTAATTAAGTTAAGTGAATAGTTGATAACTCTGACATCAAATAAATAATATCATGTTAAATGGTGATCTTTGACTTCCACCAGTGCATATGTGGTTAATCAACTGATTTAGTAACATTGTTCATTTATTACATTGTTTTCTAATGGTGTGCTATACTTAGAATGTTAGTCATAATGATTATTGTTAAAAATGTTACCATATGAAAAGAATATTTAAATATTTTTTACTAAACACTTAAAAGTTCTATTATCTGCTATTTAATATTTGTAACTTGCCCACTTATAATTTTTTATATGTTAATACAAGGTTATCGAAAGCCAGTTATAAATTTTTTAATATTTTTTGCTTTCGTTGATGGTAATTTTTGAAAGATTTTTTGTCATGCCTTTAACACTTAACTCAGAGTTTAGAGGTAAAATTATTTCAACAATCAGGATAAAAGTATAATCATTAAAAACACAAGATGTGTTTATTCTGTGACTCCTAATAGGTGCTATATTCCTTTTACTAATGAAAAGTTTTTTTTATTCCAAAATCGTTTTATACAACTCTTTTAATTCATAGTTGAAAACTTTGGGTCACAAATATTTACTTCTTTGTATTTCCATGTATTGTATCATTTGTACATTATATACTTTAAATTGGAGTATGAAAAAAATATATGTGAAAAACATACATTGTAGTTTATGTTACACAACTCTAAAACATTCATATCATCAGGTCATTATTTAACTTGTGTATCTATCCATTAAAATGGAACAAAAAATAATTATGTTGAATTTGAGATAACTTTAAAAAGCTTATAATGCTTAAAGTAGGCTGTTCTGCCTTTGAGAGAATGTAAAAGGGTTAAAACCTTCATTGCAAAATCTCTATAACCAGAGCTGAAATATTGTTAGTTCTTGTCTCAGATTGTTTACCAATAAACATTCAACAAATAGTTTTTCATCAGCTCGACTAAAATTTTGAAGAAAGATAAGAATACTATGTTCTAGAGGGTGGAAGAGGATACATTTATAGTTGACCAATGATTTACATTAAATGAGACTTATAACTAAGGTTATAGAATCACCAAAATATTCAGGGAACAGTCTCCTAACCTGTTGAATTGTTTGATTGCTTCTAGTTGTCAGGGGCAAGAAATACACCTTACTTGAAATTAAATAAAACAAGCTTTGTTATTTGGAAATATGTACTGTACATAAAATAACCTTAGAAAAATATGTAATAAAATATTTTTAAAATATGTAGAAACTTCCAACACTGCTGTTATTTAAGATCACTCGATGTTTAAGAAATACCACTGCTATAATATCACACATTAGAAATCAACAGTTGTTGCCACTGTTCTCATTATCAACTACAACAAAATTATGGCATTTAGTCATTGTAAATAGTGTAGAAAATTAATACATTACTCTAATTTTGTGGAAATATTTAATTTACTATGCTGCCTAGTGAAAGTTTGTAAGTTGGGTCTCTAGGATTTAAAATAATATCTTTGCTGGAGAACAGTAACATTGCCCATAAAGTGTCTGTCTTTGTGTAATAAAGTTGTATTTATATTACGCAGTTTTAATTTTTTTTAAATATACTAAATTAATATGAAGTAACATAAGCTTACACTCATTCAAGTAACTCATCTCTATATGCAAAAACAATGAAGAATTATAACAAGATAAAGCTCAGCAAGTTTTTTTATTTGTTTTTTCATGAGGGTAACATTGTATTAATGATGAATGTTTTTATGTAAGTTTGGTAATTAGACTTCAGCTTTTTTTAAATTTCCTAATTAATAGTGTACATTACAAAGAGGGTAAACTGAATGTAAACATACTCATGAAAAATGCAATATTCAGATAAGTACGGTACTTTCTATATTTAGTAAAATAGTTTTTTCTCACTCCCTCTCTATCTCTAAATGGATTCTAAACTTCATTTTGGGTGGGGGTAAGGTTTACAGTTATGCATTTATAATTAAGATAATTATTGTCTAGTGTTTATTACAGTTTTTATCTTTGTTTGGACAAAAGTGATAGTACTAGCAATTAACAAGTTTGTATATTGTCTAAATAGGTATGGGAAATTATTTTCCAAAGAATTTTAGCTTGTGCGAAATGTAGTCCTTAGTTTTGTCATGACTAACTTCACAGAGTGTTGAATATATACAGTAACTGTATGGATTGTTAAAAAAGAGAATGCTACAAGAAATAGGTAAATCCTTGCATTTGTAGAGTTTCCATGAACAACAACAACATTTTTTTCTATAGTTACATATAGAATTTATACTTAACCCTTTTTCAAAACTTGTCCTGTTGCAGCTGAATTGATACTTTTGTATTGTTTACCATAGGTGGCATTGTAGTAGCTATATCAGAAATTGTTAATGTTAAAAAGACTCTATAACCTTAGTGCTTTTAGAATGAAGACCTTTCTTCAATGGATGAAACCAAAAAAAAGTTATGTGATAAAAAGCACAGAGAATATTGGCTTTGTGGTATTCTTCATGACAGCTTGGAAGTATGTTGTGTTGGTGTTTTGATGTTGTATGTTTCATTACTATGTTTTTGTGATGACAGATTGGAAGTAGGTATGTTTGTGTTTTTATGTTGTGTTTCCATGATTACAGCTTGGAAGTTACACGTTGGTGTTTTGATGTACAATTCATTACTGTGTTCTATTAATGACAGCTTGGAAGTTACACTTTGGTGTTTTGATGTACAATTCATTACTGTGTTCTATTAATGACAGCTTGGAAGTTACACTTTGGTGTTTTGATATATGATTCACTACTGTGTTCTAATAATAACATATTGGAAGTTACATGTTGGTGTTTTGATGTTGTATGATTCATTACTGTGTTCTCATGATGAGGAAGTATGCATGTTGGTGTTTTGATGTTGTATGATTCATTACTGTGTTCTCATGATGAGGAAGTATGCATGTTGGTGTGTTGCTCCTGATGATATGCCAATCACAAACCTACTACTTGCCAAAACTCCTGATGAAGGCCTACTTTCTAAAAGAACTTTGGGTATCAGATCGTTGTAACTGTGATTTACATAACTCTGTTTTTGTATATGCAATTTAAGTATCATGAAGACTTCATTAAATGTAATTTTTAATTTTATCTTTTATACCTTATAAGGCAAATTTATACATGCAATACCTTTGAAACAAAAAAAAATTCTGATGAAGTTTTACAAGCATTCTTGATTATCTTTGTATTATGTTTATTAAACGTTGTATCTGTAAAAAAAAATTGAATTAGTTTCCTTGTATTTTTTATTAAGATGTATTTGTTCATTTCAATTTCAGAACACTATAACACTTCAATAATTTTGTAAAAATTCATTATTGTGTATATATATATAAAATTATAAGTTTGTCAGTAGTTTTACTTTAAGGATCAGAGAATGAATAGTCTGCCTCTCTGTACTTACCATTAATTATTCACCAAAACTAATAATTAGTTTGGCTAATATTAGTAGAAAGCATTTTCCAAAATAAGCAATAACCTTACCACATTTAACTTAATAACTGAGTACTGGAAATTAACAAAATTATCTTTTTCATTCTTATAATAGCAAACCTGAATGAAATTTGCATTATCATTTTTCTTTGGTGGTAGACGTCAGTAATTTTATTGTGCGTATCTATTTGTTCCACTAATGCTGCTTTGTTAAGCTTGTGAAATATGTATATTTGTTTGTGTTATAGTTGCTACCATTCTTTCCTGTGTTTCATTGGAAGTAAAATGCTGTTTTTTCTGTTAGTTTTCGCTTCTTTGTGAACAGCGTCCAATTTATTCTTTTTTTACCTTCAAGATATTTACAGAAACTTTACAATGGACATTAGAACATTACATGAGCATATCAAACTGCTTCCTTACCTGAATAGCTTTTACTATCATTCAGAGAAAAGCTTTGTTTCTTATAAGTTCAGCAACAGCTTGTCTTCTAGATAAACTACAAAATATAGTCCAAGGCAAAGTGGAAAATGTGCAAGTTTTTTTTTGTTGTTGTTGTTAGACGCAAAACTGCACCATGTGGTATTTGTGCTGTGTCCACCACTGGTATCAAAACAAGCCTTCAGACTTACTGCTATGCCACTGGTGAGATAGGATAGTTTTGTTTTTACTTAATGATGCATGTTTTTCAATATCAAGATTTGGTAGTGACTCTGTAAATACGTTTGAATATCACTAGAGAAAGTAAAGGCACAATGGACATCTGTTCACATAACTGCCTACAAAGGCTTGGCCTTCACGGTTGTATCTGGCTTTCATAAGAATTGCTTTAAATTTCATAACGTTGTGAAGATGAAGTGCCAGCACTACAAGGCATGATACTTTTCATGATCAAATCTGCCATTAAATTTTCTTTAATTTTTCAACTTGAAAACTCTCCAGAGTAAGTGACAAATTCGAGGTATCCACTTCAATTGGGATCTTGAATTTTATCATTGCTTTTTATGACAGCAAATCTACATGCAACTACAACAACCTTATTTTTATTGGTCTAATCATCTGACATACATTTGAAAAGCATCAACTCTTGTTTTTTGACAGAAATTTTCTTCCTACAAAAAGTGCAGGAGCAACTTTGTCCTCCAGAATCAAGCATCACCTATTACATAAGTCTTTTTCTGGCCAGTAGCTAAACACTATGCACTTAAATGCTGTTTTTCTTAAATAATCAGTTTCTCTGTTGACATGAAGATCACCCTATTTTAATAGTGTTCTTGCCTAAATATGTATGAAAACGTGCTCCATCCTACATTACAGCATTATTTGATCATAATGTAAGTAATAAGTCATGTTCAATTAATAGGGTAAGCTAATGATTTAAACCAGTATTCCTTTCTCAGAAAATAAAGCATTGAAATGGTATTTCTATTGCATGAAAACACTGTATATCTACTGACAAAATAAGTTAACATGCACAACCAGCAAGACATCAGTTTGAGATTCTAGTATAAGCTATAAAATTATTCTAACTTACAAAATGTAAGATTGGAAATGAGTCCATAAAAACATTCAATATTGCATACATACCGAAACTAATGTTGAGCTGTGTTTCTTTTTTTTTCAATTGGAACTCCCCCAATAGTAACTCAATTTCCAATCATAGTAATTTTAAATTTACAAAGCATTTTTATGATAAACTAGTTAATAAGTGAACAAGTTTGATAAATGTTTACAGATTTTGCATTTGCTAACAAGTGTGATTATAATATTTAAAAGTGCATTAATTAAACTGACAATATGAGTAAGATGATGTTCTCAGTGGTTGTAGGTAAGAAAATGGTAGGTAAAACAAAAATTATTAACTCCCTCTTGAAATGTTGATTTTTTTATTACAAGTGTCACTACTAAGTGCAGTACGCAACGCAACAACACTGCCTTGTAATTTCAGATTGATTCATTTATTGAGAAATGGAGTTTCACAAATATTGGTATGTAATAAGACAAACAATTTCAAGCCCATTTTTATAATTTTTACATATATCCATATTTAAACGAATTTTTTTAACACAAAGTATGTATATCTAATGATATTGATAACATTCAATTGAACAAGTTTGTCCTCTACACTTCACTACCTACTTCATTCTTTTACTTAATCACATGGCAACTTCAAAAAGAGAGAGAGAGAGAACCACTCTTAGGATTAAATTTATTTAATAAATATAAAGAATTACTTTCTGTCTAGCAAATCTAATAAATTTCATGATCTCAATGCTTGTACAGAGAATTAAATGTTTTAAGGGCCTACCAGTGATCTCTTTACTGTAGAGTGGCCATTAATAATAATTTTACTGCTAATAAAAATAAGTCTTAATCTATATAGGTACTTGATATGTCTTAAATGGCAGTCTGCAAGAGGAAAAATACTTCAAACTAACGGTACTTTAATACAGGAATCACTGACCATTGTAAGTTATGTGTATGTAAATAAAAAAAAATACTTGTACAACTCATTGCTTATCAACTGAACAGTCAACAAATGTTACTGCTGGTTCCTATGAAGAAATGACTTATATTTAAATAACTTAGTTTCCAGTAAAATGCTAAGTGAAAGCCTAACAGTGTGCTGAAAGGTAAGAGACATTGAAAAACTTAGTCATATTTTCCCAGCAAATTGGGATCTAAGCAAATCTTTTGAAACTAGTAAGTTTAACCTCGTACTAAAATGCAAGATATGATGAGATTATCGTATTGTGAAGCCATGGTACGTTCTAGTTTCAATGTTCAACTGACTCTGACTGTTCAAGTCTGATAACCTGTCTGTATTTTTCCTTTGCTTTTCAGCTTTATCAGAATACCTGCGTGTGTACAAATAATGAGAGTAAAATACACTCTATGCTACGAATATTTTGAAAACAAGATAGTACAGAGTGGTAATTGTAGAGGTTAAATCCATATATCATATACAGTGCTTTCTAACAATACTTGTCCAAAATAGGTGCATTATTTTTACATATAAATGTCTTGTATGGTTCTGAAATGTTAGTTTTTTTTTGTACTGGTTAAAATTAAAGGTGTACCAATATGATAAGAGTATCGTATTGTGAAGCCATGATATGATTGTATTGATACATCATCCAATACGATACAATTTATCTATCTTCACGATATTTAGTATGTTTTCAGTAAACTTTGGCAGTCTTGTCTGTAATTTATTATCTACATTATTAACATTTTATTTTTAAGTACTTCACAATTTACAGTGCTTTTTCAAATTCTCAGGTTTGATCAACTAAATGACAGCTAGCAACAGAAGTAAAATTTAATATTTATTTTCTAAAAAATAGGTTCCTCATCATCAAGTCAAAAGTTACTATCTGTCTATTTAATTTGTTATGTTACTTTGAAAGTAATGTTTTTGATAAAAGAAATGAAGATAACATGTACTCAATACTCATTCTCCTTTATTAAATCATTAATTTTCGGCAAAATTACTTTATTAGAAATTTGAGTTTTTCTGCACAAAAGATTTATAATCTTTGTAACAAACCATTTGTAAAACTTCTGTATCTATATAAGTATTGCATATACTACTATGATGAGATACACACCCCTAGTTAAAATTATGAAACTTGTCATGGCAATTTATTCCAGAAAAGCAAAAATAAGAGCTAAAAGTAATTTCTAAGCAGTTATTTCCTAGAACATAGCGTAAAACTTCAACACCCCTAATGGAAGTGAAACCTGAAGTTGTCTTTTTTTTCACAACTTTTAAATTCACGTCTCTCCATAAAAATGTTTACATAATCTTTCAAGTGCTCTCTCAATGTAGCCGATATCCACCTAAACATTAGTCACACAATTAAAAAAAAGAAATTTATATATTCATTATTTACGTAGTAAATAATGAATATATACGTAGTAATTTTCCTAATTTTTTCAGCTTTTTATTCTGTGAAATATGCTAATGATTACACTAACCAAGAAAAGAATGATGTATTTCTTTTGAAAATTTTACTTAAAAGAGAAAACTAACGATAATTTTCAATACTTACAACTGTTTATATTTTATGAGAATTATAATGTAGGTGAAATTTGGTTTTCTTACTCGGTTTTTTTAGACATAGTAGAAATTGACTCATTTTGGAATTGTTCTTAATCCTCAAACTTAAGTTATAATATACAATGTTTGATCTCAAAGTTTTATTTCTTGTGCAAATCAATGTGTGTTTCAGCTTATGTTTTGATTCTTGAATCTAAAAGAATTTTACAAAGCCTTGTATCGTAGCATGTTATATCAAGCCAGTTTCTCACCAAAATTTCAGTTTTACAAGTTTTTTTTTTACCATTGGGAAGTATAAAGCTGGTTGCGTGTACTGTACTTGAGTGCATTTGTCCAAATTTGTATTTAGTGAACTATTTCAACAATTTAGGTGTGCTTGGTTGTTTCAGATATTTGGGTAAAGCTACACAAGGGCTATCTGTGCTAGCCATCTCTAATTTTAAACTGATCAACTAGATGGAAGGCAGCTAGTCACCAGCATCCACTACCAACTCTTGGGCTATTCTAATTGAATGGTGATACTTGACCATCACTCTTGTAACACAGCACCTAAATGAAAAGCAATATTTTGCAGCAACAAGTGGGATTCTAAAAATTAAACCTGGTTTTCTTTCTTCTGAGCATCATCAGACTTCAACCCAAAAACAAACTGGAAATAACTAAGCAACAAAATTTCATTTTAGTTCCAACAAAACAATAACTACACAAAAATCTTAAATATGTCATGTAAGAAATCAAGTAATTAAAAAATATTAACAATTTACTACATAACTTTAACAAAGCACAAAATAATTCATAACAAGTTACATTATATGTAAAATCTCCACACAGAGAAAGATAAATTATCTGCTTATATATAAACATACTGACTGATTTGGTTTCTCACTCTCAATTCAGTACATTGTTGGAGGGTTTTGGTACACAATAATGAAGTATAGTAATACAAGCATTCCTAAACAGAAATCATAGGCTTTTTTTCAAGCTTGATTAACTTAAGTTTCTGGTGCATTAACTTTTTGGAAATGTTTGTTTCCAAGGTAATTATATCATTTTATATAAAAATAGTAAAAAAAAAGTATTAGTACTTATGTAATTTGCTGGTTCATGTTTGATTTAATCATGAAAAGCACCTAGATGAGTGCAAGTTAACCGGTTTAAAAATGTGCTATTCAAGAATAATAATTACTCATTTAGTATTTCTAAACTAATTCCAATGCTTTTAGTTTTTGTGTTTTAAAATAATACAAGTAATGTCAAATTACTCCAGAAACTTTTTTTACTTTGTCACTGATTTATTTCACATGCAGTTCTGGATAAAATTAATATCGGTACCCACAAAACAAATGAAGAAAAGTAATAAAATTCTGAGAATAAGTTGTATAGGATGTGATATCAGTTTGTAATAACAATCATTATTCAGTAGATTTCTTCCTAACTTATGATGAATTCAAAACACAGCAAGTTTACATAAAAGGTTACAATAGCATCCCTACAGTTGTACTACTTCTATTTGTCCAAGAGAATTGTAACAAACATACATCAATTACAGTTATCAGTTCAAAAACACAGTTTATTATAATTTTATTTCTCTAAAATAATTCCTACCACGTTTTTTTTTAAACCAGCTGTAGTCGTACATCCAGTTGTAACGTGCACTAACATTTTTTATAATCATTTTTCACTTACCAGTCGGATACCTTCGCAAAGTAAAATTGGTTTCACTTTTGGAAGCACTGTTTATATAAGAATAAAATGTTACAGTTCCATAATGGAAATCACCTTCCAGCCTGGCACTTTTATCTACTAGATTAGTGATTGGTAATCACCTTCCAGCCTGGCACTTTTATCTACTAGATTAGTGATTGGTAATCACCTTCCAGCCTGGCACTTTTATCTACTAGATTAGTGATTGGTAATCACCTTCCAGCCTGGCACTTTTATCTACTAGATTAGTGATTGGTACGATATCCCTTATCATATTCTATATGTTGACAGAAAACAAGTTCATCTTTTACAAAAGTGTACAACAACCTTAACATAAATGTGACCATTTTTTTTAACGTTGGATATGTTTTTTAAATTACTAATTTTGAGTTTCATAGTTACTGCTTTAGTTTTTTACCAATTTTCTACAACTTCATTCTAATTCAAGCGTTTCACCCAACCCTCTTCTGGTTAAAATAGTTTAGGTATGTAATATCATTTAAGAAAAACAGGTGATTTCTAATTTGTTTTTATAAAAAGCAAATGATTTCAGATTACATGACAAATATATAGTAATTAAATGTAACCTTAACAATCTTTACTGTATAGTTGCAGTGTTCCAAACTAATTGTGAAAGGTAAATAGTCTAGTGACATAAAAGGAAAGAAGACTGGTGTTTGATTTTACAATGTGAATGATAAACAAAAGCCTCCTAAGAAGGATCATTACTATACCAAAATCTCATGAATAAGGCTTTTATAGTTAAGTCAAAAGAAAAATAATTACACCACATTTTAATTATTCACATTCAATTACCTATTAACTCTAAATGTTAGTGAATCAAATGTTTCACTAATGAGATATATCAATAATCTCAAACCATCAACATTAATGGAATTTAAGATGGTTTAGTTTGGTTCCTGAAATGTCTCTTCTAGCAGTCGGTAAGGGGAGCAGACCGACATTATCAGAAACATCCCTTGCAGCATTATCTACCAATTTCAAAACTTTAAAGATAATGTCTTGACATACAAAGCATTCCTCCAAAGATGACAATAGGAATCCCTTGATGCAAAACTGCTGTTAAAATCATGCCAACCATTAAGTGACCACAGTTACTGTTTTGGGCAGGAACATTTACATCACAACAATCGATTCATAACAAACACAAGCATCAAAGAACTGCACAGAACCAACGTGAAGACTTCTTGACTGGTTCACTAGCTTTCAATTGATGACTTCCTGTCTTTGGTGGATTTGCTACTTCCTGAGGACATCAACAATAAAAAAAAAAAAAGAGAGAGAAAACTGTCAAGACCATAAACATACACACTTTTTTACATAAAAAGAAAGAAATCTCTGGAACAAAATGTAGCTGCGTATCAAGACAAATCACAAAGAATATAGTGTTTCAATATACAAGGTTAATGTAAAATAAACAAGGATGATTATTTCATTTTACACATAACTTAATGAAACTAGAAATACTAAAATAACATACAAAGAATAGATTTGATTCTATTAAAGAAAAAAGGTTGACTACACAAAACAGAAGTGCTTAAAACATGTGCCACAAATGCTGGCATTCTAGTTAACCAATCATGCAAGATTCTGGCAAAAAAATCAAAACAATCAACTTGACAATATATCAAGCAAACAATAAACCTACAGTTGAAGTTGAACAAATTAAAAAATGGCAAAGAAAAAGTAATGTATAAAACACGTTTTAATTCAGCTTTACTAAAATCTTACAAACTATACTTTTAAAGAAAAATATAACTAAATTCCAAATGCCCTTAGCCAAAAGAAAAATGATGATTCAACTAGAGAAAAACAATTTGTATTTGGCACAATCTCAACTGCTGTTTCCAAAATCTAATGTATCCCAACAATCATACTGTAAAACGATTAAGAAGATAATTATGAATTTTCTAATACAAAGTACTGTAAAGAACATTCATATGAACTGATAATTATAAAACCTGTATTAACATTTTTCAAAAATAATACATGCTAAACAAGGAATAACAAAAGTCAATATTTGAAGTGCAAGTGTAATATTGCTATCCAAGATAAATAAAAATTACCACTTAAATGAAACGTTGTTAATTCTGAAATTGTTATGAAGAAAAAGAACAAAAAATATTTTTCACAGGCTTAGTCATTATAATTCTCAGAATGAAAATTGATTTGTAACAGTTTCTATTCCATGGTTGTATTTTATTTTCTTGGTGATATTTCAAACAAGTGCTCCTTTTCAAGCAACAAATGTTTGTTATGAATTTCGTGCAAAGCCACATGAGGGCTATCTGCACTAGCCATCCCTAATTTAGCAGTGTAAGATTAGATGGAAAGCAGCTAGTCATCACCACCCACCGCCAATTCTTGGGCTACTCTTTTACCAATGAATAGTGGAATTGATCGTCACATTATAATGCCCTATGGCTGAAAGTGCGAGCATGTTTGGTGTGATGGAGATTCGAACCTGTGACCTGCAGATTACGAGTCGAGCAGCCTGTCCCACCTGGCCATGCCAAGACATTCAAGCAACAAACAAGCATGTCTGTTAAAAACATTTACAGAATTGTTTTGAAAGGAAACAATACACAAAAACAGAATGTTACAGAAGATAGAACCATAAGAATTAAATAATGTAGTATAATTAATACAATAAATCTGAAGAAAAACGCTAGTGATTGAAAAAGTAATAAAAATGATCAAAAATATAAAAACAAGTTTACAAAGCAAAGAAAGAAATAACGGACATATTTTTAAGGTAATAAATGAAGGTTATTTGAAAATTTTTATAAAAACCTGAACTGTTTGTTAATACCCAAGTTAAAAATTATTTCATTTTCGATTGTGGTTCTTTTGAAGGGGAAATGATGTTGGGAAAGTGCTCAAAGAAATGATCAGCTTTAAAGTACTTTGTCCTATGACATGCCCCTTCCAACACCAATCAAAGAACCAAAATTGAAAAAGAAATAATTTTCAAATTGGGTTGTTTAAGTCCTTTTGGTTTAGCTTTTTATAAACATTTTCAAATAACCTTCATTTATTATCTTAAAAATATGTAAGTTATTTCTTTCTTTGCTTTGTAAGCTTCTTTTTATATTTGTAATAATTGTTATCACTTTTATAATCACCAGATTTTTCTTCAGCTTTATTATATTGTTTAGTTCTCATGGTTCTATCTAACATTACATTCTGTTTTCGTGTATTGTTTCCTTTCAAAATATTCCTGTAGTTATCATTAACCGACTTGTTTCTGACTTGAAAAAGAGCACTTACTCGAAACATCAACAAGAAAAAAAATACAACCATAGTTTTTTCAGGTGATTTACCTCCAAAAGACTAATTTCTTTATTTTATCACTTTCACATTTTTCTCCTCATAGATTCTATTCTAGTATCACATGGAACACAATACTATGAATATAACGACCAGGAAATGTGTAAACGATGAAGTTTATCATGTGTATATGTGTGTGAAATATCATATTTAAATTATATGCGATTATGGGTTTAGAAGGTTTTACAGAACATCACAACCTTTCACTTCTACACTTTAATTCACTTGGATATTGTTGAAAGTAACAATGAACTGCTTTAGTGTACTGACCACCGCTGGTTGACCTCTGACATAACATCATTAGTTCAGTTACAATAGTTATGCTAATTACTTTCTCTGCCATATTAATGACTGCTGTAACTTTCTAAGCCTTATTATTATTGAACTTTCTAGAGGGTTAGAAGAGTTCTGCTACACACGTATACACTTCGTAATATGTTTAACATATTGTTTTCTGTGCATTATATTTAACATCTTATATTTTCTTTACAGAACCAATATTCTAGCTATGTATTCATTTAATTTAATATTTAATAAATTATTAAACATTATTTTTTTTTTGCTGTACTCTTGGTAAATTCCCCCCCCATTTAATTCGACACAGTTTAAATAGTAACATGTTGTGTTGTAGTTACTTGTTTTAGAAGCCACTTCCTTGAAGTTACAAAGACAGTACTGTTTAATAAGGTTTGTACTAGTCACAAGATATAGTTAAGGAGAGTTGGTAAAAATTCAAGCAGTTACATTGATGTTATATTTTTCAGAAAAAAATTAATTCTCTGACAGTATTGAAAATCAACAGCTCGTGTTTGTATGTTCTGTAAGTAAGGATTATTATATTACTTCTTTACTGTTACTAACATTAATAGTATTGATTAAACAAGTTAATATATCTAATTCTATTACTTTTTAATTTCATTTTTTATTATTGTATTTTAATCATAAAGATTGTTTTGCACTAAGCTCTCTAATCTTTACGGGTAGGAACATAAGTATATTTAATTAGTTATACTCATTACCAGATTTATTTTTTAGTTTCACTCTAAGTAAGTAGCTTACTCTGATCTGAAGTTAATACTAAACACTTAAGGTTTCAAACTAAATTTATTCAACCATGTTACTCTTCTGAATTTAATGCCATTTTACCAAAAGAAGTAAAGAATAGGCACTAGTGAAATCACAAAATATATCACAAAAATCGAAATAAACACATAATAAT